GGGGGTTACCCTGGGTTCCACATGTGGAACACTGGGGGGGGGGGTTACCCCAGGTTTCCTGCCCCCCGGCAATGGCCCTGCTCCCACTGAAAAGGCTGCTGGAGGCAAGGTTCATCAGCCATGTTTCGAGGTGGTGTGGTCTCGGGAAGGATGAGAATCAAGACAGGTGGGCCTGGATCCTCAGAGGGATGTAGGGATCTAACTCGAACATGCCTTGACATGCTATTTGCACGCCCTGCATTAGACGTCCAGGCCAAGGGGTTCTCACAACCAGTTTTTGGCCTCAGAGTGCAGCGTGGCCACTCCAACAGATGTTTAGTAAGACAGTCCTGCATTAAATTAAGGGAAACCAAATAAATATGCAGAGCAACACGTTGAAATCGTAATTTGTGTATGTAGGATTCTTTGGTCTTGCAGACTCTACAATAAAAATGATACCTCTGTCCTTTAGTGGATCTAAGCAGAACGAATCACAAATCAGACGCTTTGCACAGGATTTTGGGGTCTTTTCTGATGGTTTCTTTTGCTTTTTTGGAGGCTTTCTGCAAGATTTCCTAGCTACGGAGTCTGCCGTGAAAAATGATATTAACAAACATGCAAATGTCACTTTTCACAGCAGACTTCCTCAGCTCCCGCAAACCTTGGGGCACATTGAGGCCTGGATGTGGAAGCGGGTAGGGAGGCAGAAGGGGCCAGGGATCAGGGGGAAGAGAGAGGCAGCCACCAGCATGTCAGCCTTGATACTTTATACTGCAGAGCCAGTAGCGTGAGGTGGCAGACAGCTTCCCGGGAGTGGAGCCTGCAGCCAGGAGCTGGTGTGAAAAGTTTAACTGTAAAGGAAACTGATAAGCTGACGCTTATTGGTTAACCATTAAACCAGGGATAGGGAATCTATGGCCGGGGGTCAGATCTAGTCCCTGGCTTGCCTGGATCCAGCCTCCCAGGCTTGGGGCTCTCCTCCCCCACATCATCAGGGAGCCAGCACTGGTGCTCCAGTTCTGTGCCCTCCCCGCCACCTGCGGCACACCCCCTGCAGAGCTGGAGCACCAGCACTGGCTCCCTGTTGCAGGAAGGGGGGTCCAGAGCTTCACCAGCTGGAGTCAGGCAAGCCGGGGCCAGATTCGACACCTGGGCTCTGCCTGGCAGCGGGGGAGAGCAGTGGCTTCACATGCTGCTGCTCCTCCTCCCCAGACTGGTTCTGTGCCCTCCCCGCCACCTGCGGCACACCCCCTGCAGAGCTGGAGCACCAGCACTGGCTCCCTGTTGCAGGAAGGGGGGTCCAGAGCTTCACCAGCTGGAGTCAGGCAAGCCGGGGCCAGATTCGACACCTGGGCTCTGCCTGGCAGCGGGGGAGAGCAGTGGCTTCACATGCTGCTGCTCCTCCTCCCCAGACTGGAGGCTCCTCCTCCCCCCTCCCATTGGCCGTAATCACGGCCAATAGGAGCAGCAGGGGGCAGTGCT